TCTTTATATGTATATCTCTGACATTTTTGTTTACAGTTTTCGGTTTAACTCAATCAATAATGCTTAACCATGTTGTCTTGATAATCGGGATAAAGTGGGAAATGTTCCGAATAATTTTGGCGGGAAGAGGCTCGCGAGGGTAAAAAAGGAATATCCAAAATGGCAAATACCACGGCAGAGAGGGGAATTTGAGGCAAATTCACCGGCAGTGGTGAAAAACAGTCAACTTCATTTTAAATAAGGAAAAAAGGTAAGAGTTCCATATGGCACCCCCACCATACTAAAAGAACACAAAAATATATTACACTTTATTCCGTGGAGGTGCCATATGGAACTCTTTCCGGAAAAAATGTTAGAATACGCGAAAATAACACTAGCTAACAACCAATCAAAATCCAGCATTCTTATATAAGGTGTAATTAGGTTTTAAAGCTTATCACTGCTGAAAATAGTTAAACCAGTGGCAGAAAATTTGATACATTTCTGTTTTCAAAACCGTGTCGTTCTAAAGAGCATCTAAAATTTTTCACTTTTAATGTCATTTTAACAGGTTTTTGCTAAAAAAAATACCTTATTAGAAACGACAAATGATCATGAAAAAGTCGACAAAATTTAATTATAAACAAGTATATTTGATCTCGACTACATTTAAATGATTCCCTCACGTCTATATCTGTTTCTAGAATATTGTAAAAATAAGAACTTTAACGGTAGAAACTATTTCATTCAAATTGCATTTTACCTGGGACAAAATATATTGTATAATAGTCTCAGATTTTACATAGATTGACAGCAACAAAATAGTAAATTAAAGATTACGTGATAGCTTGTGAATACAATTATGGATTTATTTTTGTAAACATTGTGTGTGTTCATTTCAAGCATCACTTTATAGTAAACGGTTAAAAGTGAGATTTTAGTGATTATGGTCACGCATCCAAATGGACAGGCGTGTATATACATGTACATACTTTGATTGTTGTTTTTATGTGTTTTAAAGATTTTATTTATACCCAAAATATACTAACATTTGTGTTTGTAATTCGGGAGGCTGAAGGTTTAATACGTTATAAAGATTGTATTTATACCTAGAATTTACCAACATTTTTGATTAAAATTCAAGAGGTTGTAGAGAATGTAGATTTTTTTGAATAAAGATTTGGAAATAACACTTTATAGCATTTTATCAAGGGTTTTACTGCCGGACTTGAGAAGTCAAGGGATGACCCCAGTCAACCTGTGGGAATTTCTGTACACACTTTATAGTTGTTTTCATGTTTCTGTATGATTTGTGTTGCATTAATTGACATTCTACACAAAAACGACATTTCCAATCTGTTTACAATTTTGATGTTATGTCGGTGAATAAATATTTTCGGAAGACTAATTTCTTTATGACTTTCCCTAACCTTGAACAGTGATGTAACACTACGACATGAGAACAAACTATAAAAATCATTTGGAAAGAGATAGACTCATCAGATCGACACGAACAACGAAAAAAGAACAACCAAGAAAAAGACAAAAGGTACACAGTACCGATCAACCAGTACTCACAGTCACTGAAAGCTAGTTCAAAACCAAATTCAATTTATATTTACAATAATCCATGTTTTTCCCGACTAGAATATCAATCAATATACATCGAGCGGATTTAGTGTAGGTTTATTCAAAGGGTTAATAAGTTTATATGGATCGTGTCTAAATTTAAATACTCTATAAACAACATCAACAATAATACAGTTGGCATGTGATTATCCGTTCGTGATAAGGTGTCTAGAGATACAACAAAACTTTCCAACCAAACTTTAAGAAATATGTCTTATTTGTAGGGGAGATTACTATTAAAATATTCATCAAAACGTTATACACATTATTTTAAGAGTACGGGTAGATGAAGAATTAGAAACACGAGGATATAGCTCATCCCGAATGTTCTGTCCGACAAAGAATGCAAAAAATTATATATCAATTTACAAGGCTTGGGTATATAGATTTGGAGACGATAGGCCTTACTGGGATAGATAATTGATGCAACAATACAGGTTGTCCCACTGTGAACCCATGTGGAATGTCCGACTTGCAGCGAAACAAGTGTTTTCCTCAATATGGAAAACTGGTAAATTGTTGACCAGTATGGACGGTTTTGCCATTGGTGAACCTCATGAATTAGGTTAGAACAAATATAAAACATGAACTGATTCTATAATAAGAATTATGAGAGCTGAATTTTGCCTCAATGAAAACAATAAATAAATTTGGAAGTTTAAAACTCACGTGCATGTATCAAAAATAAAAAGATTCCCTGTGCATCCCCGTCCTCACTCCGTGTGTCCCACATGAGTGAATCAGATTATGGAAACAGGACAAATGTCATAAATAATTGCTCAGCAATAACAAAATTCAGCATTCTGCTATACCGGATATACGACAATTAATAGATCTTATAAAGGAACTTATCCCAAAACTCAAGTACAAACAAACAAAGAACATTTTTTTATAATTAATTTTTATAGCTAAAATGTCCAGTCGCAAAAAGTTCATGCATATCCAAGACCAGAACTAATATAGTGGGTAGAAGATAAATTTAATCTACCACTTGAAAACTAATGGTACACTAAATAGGGTTAAACATTGGCCTACATATATCATCTTTGAAAACTTCCAAAGTGTTGTTACTTATGTTCCTTCACATGCAAAGAGATAACATCCTCTCGAAGACACGCTTCTTGAATTTATCATCGCAATGACTACCGTGACTGTATTCAAAAATTAAGCACAGCCACAGAATGCCCCACTCAGGGGCTTAAATTCAGACGAAAGTATAGGTAACCATATTTCACATCACAAGATTGAAGTAAGCATACACCAGTTTTTAAACACAACCCTTGGGAAATACGAATTCTAAAACGATATCAGATGTTTGTCACATTTCTTCTTTGGTTTCGGATCTTTTAGAGTATCTAACTCAAAGTCGATGAGTAATATAGTTTGGTCGAAAATCACTATATTTATATATTAATAATTATCATCGTTCGATTTAATTCTCTCACTTTTCAGCGTCTTTGATTTTAAAATGTAGGAAAAACTAACTTTGGTGATCCTGAATCCTATTGGTTTCACATGGACCAGGGTAGCTGGCAAGAAGGTCTTCACGTGTATCAAGGAGCTGTTTACTTAGAGGAAACAACAGAAACCGACTATTGCGTCCGAGTTCTTGAAAAATCCGATCAGTTTCATAAAGAATTCTATGAGAATTTTCCAAAGGCTGTTGAAGAGGCTGCAGGTGAAGACTTTTATTGTTTCTCAACGGAACATTTTGATTGTTTTTTATCTAAAGGTTGTAAAATCAAGAAAGTTCCTGTTCCGAAAGTCGGCATTGTTTTGTGGTATTCCAAAACGATCCATGACAACAAAGGCACCTTTAGCTGGTAAACCAAATTCAGACCGATGGCGATTCGTTGCTTTTGTTTGCATGGCACCTGCAATCTGGGCAACGGAACAGAATACTGAAATGAAAAAGAAAGCTTATACTAAAATGGTTGCTACTACACATTGGCCATCCCAAGGAGTTTGGATTTTCCCGAAGACTTCACAAAGAGAGGCTACTAAAAAGTTTGCACACTTGGAAATAATTGAAGAACTCCCTGAAGTAGCTCAAACAAAAGAAGTTTTACAAATGGTTGGAATAGAAAAATACAACTTTGACGATGGACAACCTAATGATCCAGATTGGAATCCAAAATGGTTAGTAGACCCAACTTCACACAAAGTTAGAATCAGTGACTATTTTGCTTGAAATGAAAATAAAGGCGTATTTTCAACATATAAATATAAAGCAGAATATTAAACAGTATAGAAACACTGGTGTCAGCTTAGTACATATAACCCGGTGTGTGCTGTAAACTTATTGTTATTAAACATGTATTGTTGAATAACAGACAGTGATTCGCAGTTTCGATTAAAAAATTCACTACATTGGTATATAATGATTAGAGCCACTACTACTACTGAGGTGTTTCCGACCTTGACCACCAATTTAGCACGTTCTGTTTTTACAATTTGGGTTCTCTAATCCAATGATATATATACATTTGACTGCATTTCGGTGAGTTTAGGTAACTAACAATTTAAAGTTATACAATTTTGCTGATTGTCTCATGTGAATTACTAATATTTGTAATCCAATTATTGATTAACAACAGATCAATATAGCACTGATTTTACAAGTTAAATATATTCCACTCTCATTCTTTTATGTATAGAGATTCTATTTTTCATCTTTTCTTTAAAAAACCATTCGATTAATCCATAAAAAAATCTTCTTTGAGACAAAATTTACCGAATAATTCCATGCAGTGCAGATAGAAAGTTATAAGTGTTATATAAGTAGCAACATGACATCAACGTATTGCTGATTCCTGCTGTAAGTTTAAAGTCCTTTCATGTAATAGTCACATCTCTGTATCAGATTATTTTTTAAGATTTTATCATGTTAACTAATTATATTTACGCATGCTCATCTCCAAAATATAAACTAAATTCAGAAAAAATTTCAATATCTTTATTTTGTCAAAAAATGCAACAGGATAGGTATCTCATAAAAGTCACACTTTGGATTTCATAGCATTATTTGTATGCAGCATTTCCAGTCTTTTGTTCAACAATTGCAACAATGAATGCCAGCAAAAGTTCCAGAATTTATAGTACTTGCTGCTTTGGCTTCTTTAATTGATAGCGACCTTTTTAGTGTAGATCCAGCGAAATTAAATTGACGTTCTTCGATTGTTATGAAGTGGACCAAATTATTTCATTTCACTTAGCATGACTAATACGTCGTTGTTTTCCCAATTAACTTGTGTATTTTCATTCCAAATGAAACAACTTACAATGCATTGACTCCTTATAATAGATAAGAATTTCGTGTGTATTTGAGACTAGACGCCATCTAATATCGCATCTAATTAACCATCAAGATGGCCATCGAAGAATGCCGATTGTCATACGACTCTATCTAAAAATAAATATTAAAAAAAATAATTTTTAACCCAAATGGATGTACATTGCATTAATATGAACTCGCAAATTAGTATTCTATTCCAATTGCACGCACTAAATATTGTGTTACTTTCCGTCAATTTAGTTCAAAACTCGGAAATATAATTGGATTATATAAATTATGAAGTAACATTAGTCAGTAAAGATGCCATCTACATCTGTCCACTGTAGAAAACTGCATACTAAGCTCTCATATCTTTCGGTTTTTCTTTTTTTTTTCTCTTACTGCAATGCTATCATTAACGTATACCAAACATCTCCTTGTATTCGCAATTGATTTTTACTTAAAACATTCAGGAACCTGATATCACTTCTTGATATCTTCAAATCCCATAAAAAACTAAATGGGTACTAACTTTGAATAAATTAATATTTACGCTATACTGATCCTTTTAGAATATAAATATTCATTTCATGATATTACCTGCTGCAAGAAATGATATCAAGTATCTGTTTTATTTCCTGCTTATTTGTCTTCTTATTTGTTAGAAAATATTTAACAAAACACATGTTCAACATTACAACTTTACTCTAATACACTACAAAGATTCAAACAATTTCGCACACGGCAACTTTCCCAGTTTTATAGCATGTGGCAAAGAACTGGTTGCTATTTTTCTTGAAACGTATAACCCACGGTTGTTGTATTCCGATACTTTTGGCTTGAATAATTCTTACCAGGTTGCCGTCGTTACTTAGCTGATGTATATTTTCTGAATTATATGCACAAATATACACATTCCCATTACAGTCTGTGTCTATTCCTCTCGGGTTTTTAAGTTTATCATGTGTGTAAGTAAAGACTTTTGTATTATTTACCATTCTGGACACCTTACTTGTTCCATCTGCACAAATGTAATTTTTGCGGTCTTGCGCATCGATAAAAAAAGTGTCCCCGTTTGTTGTAGCTTGTTCATTTCTGACACCAGTTGATGAGCTAATCCAGGTTAAAGTATTGTTAAATGCAAGAATAAATTCACCATTGACATGACAGAATCTATGAACTTGCCATGTGTTATCAATTTTACAGCACAGTGTCATATCATGTGTATTGATTATATAAAAAATCTTAGAATTTGATGAAACCGCTGCTGTTGTGCCATTCATTTGATCTATATCGTATGGTTGATTTGGAAGCTTAAGTTCAGTGAGACGGTCTCCGTTGGGATTATACTTTAAGACTTTCGATGAATTATCATGAGTAAAGACATATTTATCTTCCATAAAAAGACCACTGATACGGACATTCCGTCCAGTAAGGTCAATAACTTTAATAACATTTATTTTCCCCGTGCGAAAATTTACGTTGTTACTGAAAGAAAACTTCGGACAACTTGCGTTGATTTCAACAAGTTTAACAACTCCAATAACTGCGACTCGTTCTGCAAATTCCTCTGCTATATTATTAGTCTCTAGATGCATGGAAACATTCTTCATTTCACTTATACCTTTTGTAAATACATCACCAAATTTAATCTTATTTTCGTTAATTCTATTCATTTCAAGTAAACACTGCAGTTCGGATCCATGTTGTAAACAGGTATCAAATATAGTAGTCCAGTTATCAACCGCATTCTTCAGACTCTCAAGTTTTGTTGACTTTTCGGAAAGTTTCAAACCTGCTTCCTTCTTCAATGTGTTTATTTCTTCCTTAACTTGACTTTCAATTTTGTTTAAATGTTTAACAATGTTATTCTTTATGGTACTTACTTTTGTAAGAATAGCTTCAGCCTCTTTTTCTAAATCGGTCGTAAGGTCTTTCCTGTTTTGTATTAAATCGGACAGCTGTTTGCTGGTTTGTTTTAGTTCTGTAGACAACCTCAATGCTTTTTCGGATTTTTTTATACCTGAAGCTGCCTTCTCGATTGTTATGACATCTTCGCATTTTCTATGCAATAAAGTGGCACATAATGTACATAATGGTTTAGAATGATCAACACAGTAAGCCTTTACTATCTCTCCTGAATGTTCTTCGCAATATATCAAAGAAGAAATGCTTACCGTTTCTTTGTTAGTAACAATATCCTTCAGCAACATGATCGGATGTTTTGCAGACATCTTAAATGATTTATGGCATTTTTCACAAGATTCACAAAACGCCTCTTCGCATACAATACACCAAGATAACGCATTTTTCGATTCATTGTTCGCTTTACAAGAGTCGCATGTTTTTACGTTTCTTCTTATTGCTTGTCTATCCATCATTGAAACAACAAAATGATTACCTGGTAATTTTTCAGCCCAGGTCTCCGGGTTACCGGTTGACTCTGCCATCAAAACATTCTGTCGACAAATCGGACACTTAAACGGTGTTTTAATTTTCTCCTTCCCCACGGTCGACAGAATGTAAGTGTTAATGCATGCCGTGCAGAACGTGTGGAGACATGGTAAATATTTTGGACCTTTAAAGGTCTCCAAACAGATTGTACACGTCAATAAATCATCAAAATTATCTGTTTTGTCTGGTGCAACCGCCATTTTGACTGACTTGACTTTAAACTTCCTTCTCAACTGTTAGATTGATATGTAAATTATCTGAGATACATTTAACTACACCAGATAAACTAAGATACACCTAATCGCAGTCTTACCTGCATATAAAGTTTTATAGCTATAAATACGTTACCATCATAAATTCTGAGTTGACCCCATTTGCGTCATTAGGTCAGATGGAATATCCCCGATAAAAATAAACGTACTATCACTGGTCCGGACATAAATTAACCCCTGTGAACCCATATTCTCCCATTCAATTTCCATCTGCGACATTGGTCACACGTATATTTACAGATCTAACAGAGAAGTTTTTTGTTGTTGTAAAGTTTTTTTTTGAATTGCTTAGTTGCTTTTCAAATTGAAATTGTGTATTATTGGAAAATTATTCCCTTGTTTATATCTAATTTCTAGACAAAATTATTTGTTTTTTGACTAAATTTAATTATGGACTATAATTTGAATAGTCCTTTCGTCACTACTCCTGGTTCGGACTATCTCCTGGATGGGTCACTACCTTTAAGTCCCACCTAACTACCAGTACATTAACCGGAGTTTCGACAACGGTGTCTGGTAATGCTACCTATCCGATTCTTTCACAAGGTTCGGCCATGCATTTGGGGGGTCCCTACGTCAACTTAAGTGACTCATACCTTATCTAGGCCTGTTAATTCATCGGGTACTATTCGTTCTGTCCCAGGTACAGCTATGGGCTTGAAGTTGCCAGGTTCTAGACCCCAGTATCCTCTTGTGGGTATTTGCTTTCCAACTCGGGTACCCAACCTTTATCCTCATGGTCTCAGCCATCTTGGCCACAGTCTTACCCTTATGGTAGGTTTATGCCAAACCAACCTAATTTTTGGCCTTATAGGGACAATATCTATGGTAGTAGATTGGATTATTGGATATACTATACTGATTTTAGTACTCTATCCAGTCGTATGTCTCTACTGGAGAATATAGTTTCTTCTCATCAACCTTCTCCAGCTGAGTCTGTAGAATATGATGAGAAGGAGGTTGACGAGCTTTCTGTTTCCCCTGGGAGTCAAGAAAGGGCTTTCATCACTGATGAGGATGTTGATAGTTCTTCTTCTCCCAAGTTATCGAAGATGGTCCCTGAGCCTACTTCTAAGTTGGCTCACCAACCTTCCACCAAGGAGACTGAGGATCCGACTTATTCCTTGAAGGATCTTAGGGATAAGGTGTATACCCTGGTGAGGGATGAAGCACATATCCCTTTTGCCTCTCCTTCCAAGCCGAAGAGACCTTCTTCAACTTTTGAAGCTTCCTGTGGTATTTCCCAGGATACTGTGACTTCTTACAATTCTTTTCCTGAATCTGGCCGTATGGCATCTGCTTTACAAATTATCAATGAAGGTATTGCTAATTCGGCTAGTGAAAAGGTTGCTAGAACAATATCTCTGGTTTTGGTATGTCTTCCTTTTCTGATCACTTCAAGTACAAAGATTTTGATATCTTTGATTCTTCGCTGGGTAGACTTGTTCCCATTTGTGACAAATCTTTTTCATCTTTATTGGGAACAAAGCCAGTAGATGGTCTTCGTCTCACTCAAACTGTCTGGGCAAAGACTGAGAGTCTCCTTCGTAGTGCTTCTCAAGTTCTTGGCACAGCCGAACATTTTCTAGCTGCAACCGGACATTTTCTTAACAGCGAAGATTCGGTTGTTCCAGCAGAAGTACGATCTTTCTTACTTCAACTGGATAAAGCTCTAGGTTCATCTCAGTTGCTTTTAATGGGTTCTATTGCTAATTGCGCCCTATCTAAAAGAGCAGAGTTTCTTGAAAAAACTTCTGTTGCTGAATCTTTGAAAGATTCTTTACTGAAATCTCCACTTTCTGACAAGATGTTTGGATTACCCTTAGTTCTACTAGTACTTATGCTTCTGGTGGTCCTCCTTCTTCTGCTAAGAAAAGGAAGAATAACTACGGCAAACCTCAGAACAAATCCCATAACTCCGGTAAAAGCTCAGGTAAGCCTTCTGGTGGTTTTAAGGGCCCCAAGAAATCTGGGTCTAGTACCTACGTTCTTGCCCCCTCGTACGTTATTGACAGCTTCCCCAGGGAAAAATTTACAACAAGTTCCTCAAAAATCAATACCAGTAGGGTGAAGTTAAGTTTTTTTCCTAAATCAGTGGAAGAAAATTACCTCAGACTGTTATGTGCTGTCAATAATTCGAGGGGGATTAACACTTCAGTTCAAGAACCTACCTCCTCTGACCTATCTATTCTGAACAACTTTCTTATTGTTCCCCATTTCAAAATGGAAACCAAAAGATCAATCAGGGCTTCAATCCTTCCAGGAATGTGGACTATCTCTCTGGATCTTTCAGATGCTTACTTCCACATTCCCATTTCCCATACTTAAAGGAAATACCTTCGCTTCGTTTGGAACAACAAAGTTTTCCGGTTCAAGGCTCTCCCTTTTAGCCTATCTACAGCCCCTTTGGCTTTAACCAAAATCATGCAGGCAGCTATAGCTCACCTACATTCCCTGTCTATTAAGATTCATTCCTACCTGGACAATTCCCTTCTCAAGGAATTTTGCCCAATCAAATTGAAGGTTCAGACAGATTTGGTCATCAATTGCTTTCTGTCCCTAGGCTTCCTAATTTCCTGGAAAAAGTCAGAGATAGTTCCTTCTCAAGACTTAGTTTTCCTGGGAGAACATTTCCTAACCAATCTAGGCCTAGTTCTCCCCCCAGAGGAAAATTTACAAAACTATGTCAGAAAATACATTTATGCCTGACTGTTTTATCAGTCACAGCACGTCAATTCTTGCAACTTCTGGGTCTATTGAATTCTCTGGCAGATGTAATTCCATTGGGACGCCTTCACATTCGTCCGCTTCAGTTTTATCTGCACAAGTTTTCGATTCCAGCTTCACAAGAATGGGAAGCATTGATTCCTATTACTCAGCCTCTATTTTCGCATCTTCAATGGTGGTTAGTATGGGTAAATGTAATGAGGGGCCTATCTCTGTCCCCTCAAGTTCCCAGTCTAACTATATTCACAGATGCCTCCACCCTAGGTTTGGGAGCATATCTGGAAGGGCTTACAATCTCGGGAGTTTGGAATCCAGATCTTTTGGAAAAGCATATCAATGTATTGGAAATGAAAGCAGTTCTGTTTGCACTGAATCATTTCCAACTGTCTCTAAAGAATCAGTCTGTCATTCTGGCCACGGACAACACAACAGTTGTAGCTTATCTCAAGAATCAGGGAGGAACTCACTCGCCTTCTCTTTATCAGATAGCAAGAGACATTCTCCTTCTGTGTTTTTAACTCCAGGTTCATCTAGTCACTACAAAAGTCAAAAAGTCTGAAAAGACCAGTTTTTGTCTGAATTTGCATGATTTTTACTCGACATTCTTAATTTGTCTGAATAATTTTTAAAAATTCTTGACATAGTATGAATTTGTCTAATAAGGTTCTTGATTTTTCTTGACAAGTGTCTTGACAGTATGAACATTGTCTTAAAATTTCTCGACACTTCCTGTATCATCTGATAAGAGTCTGGATTAGTCTCGACCAATTCTTGACTGTCTTAAATTTGTCTCGATCTGTCTTGACATATTCTTGACATTCTTAATAATGTCTGAATATGTCTCGACATATTCTTGACATTCTAAATAATGTCTGAATATGTCTCGACACATTCTTGACAGTCTTAAATATGTCTTGACACTATCTCAACAGTATAAATTTCGCCTGAAATGTGAACAGACTTATTCTGCACTGTTTATGACATTCTATTGCTGTTATATACTCCTTTTTATTATGGCTAAACTAAACTTTGAAGAATCAAGGATTAATTTGGTATAGTAAGATACCCTTTTGGTGCAACTAAGTAGTGGCATGGTCGGTCAACTGATAAGTTGTATGGCTGATTACAGGTAAAGCAATATCTTCTATTTGACAGTTGCGTGTACTCTGGGGTGTGGAATACCTTAATTTTATGGGGAACATCCTGTCCATGTGTAATACTTAATATGTTCCAACAGATAACATTACACAAATGTTTCTTCTGTTAAATGAATGATTTGTATATCATCATAATTTGCTATTTATATAAACCATATTTTGGTATAATAATTATTTACCATGATATCAACATTGAATATTATGAATGTAGAATGAAATATGTTTACAGTATGATTGGTTTGAATCATTTAATTTATAAGATTTAGGAATCAAAATTTGTAATTATTAAAAAACCCACATTGAAATTGTTTTATATCAACACACCCACATTTGAATTATTTTATACTTTAGATTTCATAGCCATATTTGCATTTGTAAAAATATTTATATACCCAAATTTTCAATTATTTTACATGCCCAACTTTTATTTTTGTTGTAAAGAAGTGTAACTTGAAACAACAGTATATCATATAAAGAGAAATAAAGATTAAAGTTATATCATGAATATTGGTCATGATTTGTAAAACTCAGAACTGTCAAGTAAATTTAAGACACCATTCAAAATGTTCAGAATATGTCGAGCCATACTGAGAAAAAATAAGAATGTCGAGAATATGTCGAGAAATTTCAAGACAGTATTCAAATGTCAAGAATTTGTCAAGAAATTTTAAGACCATATTCAGAATGTCGAGAATATGTCGAGTAAATTTCATACAAATTTAATATAAATGAGAATTTGTCAAGAAAAATTAAGACACAAGTCATACTTTTGGAGAATGTCGAGTAAAAGTTCATGCAAATTAAGACAAAAACTGGTCTTTTCAGACTTTTAGACTTTTGTAGTGAGTGGTGAGACATATTACGGGGCATCTCGATATTCTAGCCGACACTCTATCCAGATCCCTTGCTCCAGTAAACACGGAGTGGGAACTACTTCAAGTAGTTTTCAAAGCTGTGGCTCTTCATTGGGGGTCACCTCAGATTGATCTGTTTGCGACCAGTCTCAATCACAAATTTGTGTCTCCGGTTTCAGATCCGAAATAG